TACACTACACTTTTTGGGCCAAAAGCATAGCACCCCACCGCTGATTATAAAATTTTATAGTATAATCCAATTTCCATAAAAACCAACGGTTCATTTTTAATACTGAAACTAGACACTTTTTTCAATTAATTCTTTACATGTTATTTCTCACTATTTTTTGACATTTTAAGTTTATTTCCCACACTTTAATACATGATAAAAATGATGGTAACAACCATTTTTCATAAAAACCAAATAATGTTATTGAATACTGCGTTGGACATGTTTTTTTTAATGTTTTGTTAATTGCTTGTTACCGGCTGGTTTTTAATCATTTTTTGAAATTTTAAATTCATTTCCTCCATTTAAAAATGTGTAAAATTGAATGGTGAAGTCCAATTTCCCTACAAATACAAGCTTCAATCTTAATACATGAGTGTACCCCGTTTCTTGCACAATTTGTAACGTATACAAATTTTATTTGAATGAAGAATGGATACAGCCAACAATTTTGAAACCTTTAAAAGTGTAGGAAATGAGCTTGAAATTCCAAAAAATAAGGATAATTGAGCGTGTAAGAATTAATTAAGGAAACACGTCAAAGGCATTATTCAAGATATAGTTTTCATTTTGATGCAAATTCATTGTTGCCATAATTTTCTACATGTTTGAAAGTGTAGGAAACAAATTTAAAATGTCAAATAATAATGAAAATTAAGCTCTTAAAAATCAATTGAAAAATATGACTAATTACAGTATCCAGAATGAACCGTTGAGTTTTATGGGAATTGAATGTTACCATTAAATTTTACACACTTTTAAATGTATGAAACAACTTTAAAATTTCAAAAAAGCATAGAAAATAAGGTACACACATGTATGCAAACAATTAGGTGAAAAAGTGAGGAATTAATTAAAAAAACGTGTCAAATGCAGCATTCAAGGTATAGTTTTCAACTTGGGGAAAAATGGTTGATACCATAATTTTCTACATGTCTTAAAGTGTAGGAAATAAATTTAAAATGTCAAAAAATGATGAAAATTAAGCTGTAAAAAATTAAGTGAAAAAATGGGTGTAATTTGAGTATTAAAAGTGAACTGTTGAGTTTCAAAAAAATTGGACTGCGCCATTAAATTCTACGCATATTAAAACCTAGGAAATAAATTTAAAATTTTAAAAAAACATAAAAAATAAGGTACATACATGTATGCAAACAATTAATTGAGAAATGAGTGAAAAAAATAATTAATAATCAAAATTCATTTTTATGAAAAATGGTTTTTACCATTAAATTCTACGCCTTTTATAGTGTAGGAAACAACTTTAAAAATTTAAAAAAACTCATAAAATAAGCAGTAAAAAATTAATTACGAAACCGCGTCTAAAAGCGGAAACCGCTGTGGAACTACTCTTGGGAGGAATAGAGCTTGAGAGGGATGAGTGCTTTATTGGGCTGCCTCTCTGATAACAAGAAAATATAAGAGTATGGACTCTTAAGGAAAGGTGTGGCTTTGGAGATTTCTTGAGGATGGTATGTCTAATATGTCTTATGTTTACTAGTCTAAATATACTTGTTCACAAATCAAGGTATCCCAAATGTTGATGGGCAAATACCTGGCTAATAATGGGTGATCAGTTATCTGGATTGCTGGGGCAGGATCTGATGAGGAACAAATGAAGGGGAAAAACAAAGCTCCTTATATACAAAATTCTGGGGAGTGGCCAGCTTGTGGTTGGAAGATAAATGGAACATTCTATGAAGAGTATGAAACAAGGGAAAATATTTATCCAGAGAAAACAGGGGAAACAAGCAGTGGGAAAATGCTCCCAAGGTTACTAGTATGAAAAAAATAAGGGGAGAATATTCCATGGAAGAAAATAGGAGGAGATAACAGTTTCATGGACAAGGGGATTGTTACTAGTGTAAGACACAAGGAGAAAGAAGAATGGAATATGTTTGGAGGGGAATGAGTTTCAGGCTGTGGAGTTTCTGCTGGAAAATATTATTATCCATGTGGTCTGTGCTTGAGTGTTGTTTAAATTTGTTTGAGGGTCTGGGGATCTTTCTGGGGGTTTCTTGATCCTGTGATTCTTGTGTGATTTGTGGTCTTGAGGTGCTTGGATATTCAGGATTGGCTTACCACATCCACCCCCAAATTAGATGATGTCCCCATCATCCAAAAAAAAAAAAAAAGAGAAAAAGACAATCCTGATAAAACTGAAAATAAATCCTAGACAGAGAAACAGGTCATAACTGGGAAAACTCATAATTTGAAATAGTGCCAGAAGAAGAAAGAAACAGAATAAATCTATGGTTGGTATATTTAGAGGAATTATTTTTGCGCTTTTTTTTTATGTAGTGATTTTTATACTTTTGGTTTGCTTTATTTCATAAGTCATGAGAGGCCTAGTCTGTATTCTTCATGTAACCCAGTAAATAGTGAAAAAAATTCAGATGTAAAACTAAGGAAAAAAAATCAAGAAACTTGGGTTTTCACCACCACCAAATTAGATGTGGGGCGGGTCTGGGAATAACTGGAGAAGGTAGGTAAGAAATTTCTATTTGTAGGCTTTGAGAATAGGAAGAAATTTTGGTGAGTACAAAGAGAAGGGGCATCCACCCCCAAATTTTAAAATTTTGAGGGGTGATTCAGCATTCAACAGGATTGAGTCAGACTAGCCTTGTGTGCCAGGAAAAAACTTGTAATTCTCTTCTCTTCCCCCCTTTTTTTCTTTTTTTTTTTTTTTTTTTTCTTTTTTTTTTTTTTTCTTTTTGAATACATGTAGCATACTCGTTTACCCTTTTTGCTTCAGCCTAGAAGTCCTTATGAATCTCTCTCCTGTTTTGTCTTGTAGTCGTTGATGGGTATGTATCTAGTAGTCCTGTCTACAAGAGAAGAGTGATTTGAAACCACTTGGACAAGGCATCTGGTGGGGTTTTTTTTTTTTTAGTGAGATCAGTACAAATGTAGTTGCTTGATCGACCGATTGAGATTCCTTGTATCCATGGGCACACAAAAATAGTGGTAGGCCGTGACACAAGTTGGAAGCCTCCTCCTTGGAATTCATAGCAACAAGCCTCAATATTATCTGGAGTCCACCTTCTTTGGCCTTGCTCCTTGCTTTTTTCAGTGTAATTTCTATCTCCCATGATACCTGGGTCAAATAGCCCGCTGAGGTGCTCAACATCGTCTTTTTCCTGATTCCAATTGGTGTTTCCTTTCCCTTTCTGATGTAAGTCTTTGTTTTTGCTCCTTGATGCATTCAAACAATTCGCTTGAGTTCTCTTGCTGTGATTGAAGTATTCTGACGGTTTGGGTCTTCTCCCACCTCTCCAAAGCTCCAGTATCCACAATTTAATCCGATCTTCTGGTAAAGACCATCGCTTGTTTGTGTTTTCTGTATTCTTACCCTGCTTGACCAAAAATAGAAGTTGAAAATCCTCTGGCCTCGTATACCTTCTTTTGTGATTTTCTGTTGGCAAAACTGACCGTTCTTTTGTCCCTTTTCTTGCTTTATCCTTCAAGCGAACCCAAACAACAGTAGCTATCCATCTCCTCATGTTGTTCCGAGCTCGATAGGAGACTTGTAACTCCTTTATTGATAAAGTTAAGCTCTGACTTATCCTTCCTTCGCTCCTGCTTGACTGAACGCTAGCCGCAATCTCCCTGCATACTGGTGGGATTAACCGCTTGCTTATCCTCCTCTCCCGATTCTTCAAGCAATCAAGGACAACTGTAGCTAATGAATCTCTTGCAACCTTGCGACTATACTGGAAACATTCTGAGCTGGTCTTTTGCAAAATTGATGGCTTGCTATCAAGTGTCCAGTGCGAGTGATGGCCTACTGAACTTTCCTTTGGATTCCTGTTGACTTTCTGTACCAAAGAAGCAAAGCTCAGCGAATCAAAACTGGTCGCTTCAAAAACCATATACCATTTTTTATCCAGACACAGGTGGGTTGATGATGCGTAATCAGGTCTTGTGATAGTAAGAATAATCCTGTAGCTAATTGATATTTGTTTTTTATTCTTCTTGAAGTTCTGATCCCAAACATTCAAAGCCAGCAAAGCGAGACTGTTCCCTTCAACATCTATGGTCTGCAGCTGGGTTCCCAAGAGACCCAACAACGGTATGATTTCAGATTCTCTAAATGCCAGACCAAATCTAATTTGACTCTTCTCCTTTTTCTTTTTAGGTTCATGTTGATTTGTGAAGGCAGTATGCCAACCAAGAAATGATTCTAGAGGGTCTATCTGATTAAGAGGGCACCAGGAAGATTTTAAGTTAGTTTTTTTGAATATCACTGAGAAGAAACTGTATGCTGAGATGGACTCCTTTGTACTGATTGGTTTTATTCTTAGCTTGATGAAGGGTAAAGATCTTCTTGTTACAAGATTTTCAGGGGTAGTGAGAGGAGGTTTGAGAGAAGGTTGACTGGTATCAGGGGGCTTAAAGGGTGGCAATTTCTGTTGGTGGAGAGGTACTTGGTGATTTTTTGGAGAAAAATTTTCTGGGAGAAGTTTTGTGATGGAGGCTGATTGAAAAATTATATCTTTGGTTCTTCCAGGGTCTTTTTCCTTGTTATAGGGTCCTAATATGTTGTTGAAGTTTCTCTGAGGATCAAATCCTTGACTTGGAGGAATAAAAACTGGTTCCTGGTAGAAGATTTCAGCTTTGGTATCTTTGTAGAGAGGTTCTGCAAAATGGGTATGCATGGAAATCAGTTTGGAATGGGGAATAGAATCAATTTCCAGAGATAAGTTGGGTGCAATATTTGAAATGGTTTCCTCTGGGGTTCCAATTCCTTCAGGTAAAAATTCTGTAGGATATATTGTGGGGGACTGAATTGACTGTAATTTTTCCTCATTTTCATCTTCCAACAGGATAGTCAGGGAGTTTTGCATTTCAGGAATAGGGGTACTTGTGGTTTCTTCAACTTTTCCTACTGAAAAGTCCTCTTCTGAAAATATGATTCCTGCACAAATTTCACTTTCTGATCCAATATTTTCTGCTTCATTTTAATCCAAGGGTTCCAATTGTTGTCTATTTTCCAGGAGCTGAGGGCCATTTTCCAGGAGCTGAGGGGAATATTCCAAGGTGACAGGTGCTACTGGGAAGCAATTTTCTTCAATTATGGTACCTGGTAGGGATATTTCTGAATGATTTTTTGCTGAAATGATTTCTGTTTCTGATCCAAAGTGTTTTGTTTCTGTGTTGTCCCAGGGCTCCAAAGTTGCCAGTGGTTGGCCATTAGCAATGAGCTGAGGGGAAGATTCCAAGCTGACTGGTCCTACTGGTAAGTTCTCTTGTGGAATGATATTTTCTGCACAGATCTCACTTTCTAACCCAAGGTATTCTGTTTGATTTTTATCCAAGGAGTCCAACTTCTGGCAAGTTTCAAGGATCTGGGGGGGAAACTCCAAGGTTACAGGTGCTACTGGGAAGCAATTTTCTTCAATCATGGTACCTGGTGACAATTTCCCATGATGAATTTTTGCTTGGAATATTACTCTTTCTGATTCAAACTGTTCTGTTTTTCTGTTGTCCAGGATCTCCAGGGTTTCCAGGGAGTGGTCTAAGGTCTGGGGGAAGGCATCCAGAGTTGAAGAAAAAACTGGGGAGGACTTTTCTGTAAGTGGTGACTGAACTTCTGAGTTATATTCTTCCATGTGGGCTACTGTATCAGAATTCTGATTGGGTTGGTGAATTTGTTGTTCAGGTTGTCCAGGTGCTTTTTGAAGGATATCCATTTGTTCAAACTCCATAGTAATATATTCCAGGATTAGATTATAGGGTGGTAGTTCTCCAATGTGAAAGTTTCCATCCAAAACCAAGTGACCATCCCAGATAAGTGGATCAGATATGGCTCTTTCCAATTCTGGGCTGAGGGATTGCCAAAATAATTTTGCAAATTCATCCATGAAGGAATTGTATCCATTTTCAATTAGGTAGTGAGCAATGTGTTCAAATTGTAATATGAATTGTCTGAATGGTTCTGGAGTGCTGATGCCACCCATGTTTGCAACATAGCTGACCAGATCTACCAATTCCTCTCTAGCACATTCTTCCAGGGTGAGAGTAATTCCAAATCTATACGTTAATTCTTCCTTCAAGTTGACCCAATTGCATTCTTCATATCCATGCATTTCTTCCACTTCATCTTGCAGGTCTGGTCCTCTGATAAAGAACAATATCTGGCTGGCCAAATCTTGAGAGCTTGCTCCAACAGTTTCTGCAGCTTCTTCATATTTGCTGATGAATTCTTCTATAGGCATGTTGGAACCATCATAACCAAGGTTCCTGTCCAAGGGTTTGATTTTGACTATCTTTCTTCTTCCTCCAGGGTGATTGGCCATGTTTGTTGTGATGGGGGTTCTGGGGTTTGATTTTCTTCTTGATGGGGGTGAGGGAGTTGTTAAGTTTTCTACTGTTATGATAACTTTGCTGTTGATCTAATTCTATGTTGTTAATGCAGATTTACCAATGAAGATTTCTGCAGGGGATAATAAGGTAAATAAATTCTAAATTAAAATGGGGTTGGTAGTAACTAGCTAATCTGTGACTGTATATTTAGCATGGAAACTGTGAGTGGTAGTGACTGAAAACCAAAGATCTGTTAGGCCACTGTTGGGACACCACTTGTGGAACTACTCTTGGGAGGAATAGAGCTTGAGAGGGATGAGTGCTTTATTGGGCTGCCTCGCTGATAACAAGAAAATATAAGAGTATGGACTCTTAAGGAAAGGTGTGGCTTTGGAGATTTCTTGAGGATGGTATGTCTAATATGTCTTATGTTTACTAGTCTAAATATACTTGTTCACAAATCAAGGTATCCCAAATGTTGATGGGCAAATACCTGGCTAATAATGGGTGATCAGTTATCTGGATTGCTGGGGCAGGATCTGATGAGGAACAAATGAAGGGGAAAAACAAAGCTCCTTATATACAAAATTCTGGGGAGTGGCCAGCTTGTGGTTGGAAGATAAATGGAACATTCTATGAAGAGTATGAAACAAGGGAAAATATTTATCCAGAGAAAACAGGGGAAACAAGCAGTGGGAAAATGCTCCCAAGGTTACTAGTATGAAAAAAATAAGGGGAGAATATTCCATGGAAGAAAATAGGAGGAGATAACAGTTTCATGGACAAGGGGATTGTTACTAGTGTAAGACACAAGGAGAAAGAAGAATGGAATATGTTTGGAGGGGAATGAGTTTCAGGCTGTGGAGTTTCTGCTGGAAAATATTATTATCCATGTGGTCTGTGCTTGAGTTTTGTTTAAATTTGTTTGAGGGTCTGGGGATCTTTCTGGGGGTTTCTTGATCCTGTGATTCTTGTGTGATTTGTGGTCTTGAGGTGCTTGGATATTCAGGATTGGCTTACCACACCGCGTGTGCTGCGGCGCATCAAAACCGCGTCAAACCGCGGAAAAACCACGTTTTTTTATTAAGGCCCATTTAAAATGTCAAAAAATGATGAAAATTAAGCTGTAAAAAATTAAGTGAAAAAATGGGTGTAATTTGAGTATTAAAAGTGAACTGTTGAGTTTTAAAAAAATTGAACTGTGCCATTAAATTCTACGCATATTAAAACCTAGGAAATAAATTTAAAATTTTAAAAAAACATAAAAAATAAGGTACATACATGTATGCAAACAATTAATTGAGAAATGAGTGAAAAAAAAAATTAATAATCAAAATACATTTTTATGAAAAATGGTTTTTACCATTAAATTCTACGCCTTTTATAGTGTAGGAAACAACTTCAAAAATTCAAAAAAACTCGAAAAATAAGCCGTAAAAAATTAATTAAAAAACCGCGTCTAAATGCGGAAACCGCGTGTGCTGCGCGCAGCCAAAACCGCGTCAAAACACGGAAATGCCGCGTTTTTTTATTAAGGCCCTTATAAAATGATGGTAATAATGAATTTGCATGAAAGTGAAAATTCTTGCTTAAATATTGCATTTGACATGGTTTTTTAATTAATTTTTACAGACTTATTCTTCATTATTTTTTGCAATTTCAAATTTACTTCTTAAATCTTGAGAGGTTTACAAATCAATGGTCATACCCATTTTACATAGAAATAAAATTTATATCTGGTAACAATTATGCAAGAAATGGAGCAAGCTCAGGCCCTGTTTGGCCGTCCATAATATGTAATTTTGAGTCAAGATTTGGCAGGAGTTTGTGCAAAAATTTTATATCATTTTATATCGGATTTGCACGGTCCAAATCCGCGCCAAACCTTAGCCAAATCACAAATCATGATTTGCGGCCAAACGGGGCCTCATATATCAGAAGTAATCCTTTGATTTTTATTCAAGATAGATAGTACTATAAATTTCAAACCTCTCAACATGTAAGAAATCAATTTAAACTTCCAAAAATGGTGAAGAGTAAGCCTGTAAAAATTGATTAAAAAACCATTCCAAATGTGTTGAAATTTTAAGACTCAGGCGCGTAAGAGGTGGAGGGCCAAAAATTGAGGATTTTGTTTTTGGGAAAGGTTCACGGAAAAAGAGTGTAAGAACCGATGAGTTTTATTCACAAGTATCTAGTCAGGTTTAAATAGACTAAGTACAAGTGGTGAACAAGTGGTTTTGAGAAATGAATAGTAAAAGCATATTGAATAAAACACTGAGAGGAAGAAGCATGAGTCTTGGAAGAAACAAACTGGACAAGGCTTCTCAGTCTCTTTTAGTCTAGCCAGATGAGTTAATCAAGAAAAACAAGCTATAATCCACAAATACTTAGAGTCGTTAATTCTAATTAATCAGGCTTTAGTAAATCAATCAAGAAGATCAGGAAAGAGAAGAGATCATCGTAGAGACATGAGTTGTTGAGACAAGCTGATTACTTAGGGTTCAAATTTGACTCAGAAGGGGCTTAATAACAACAAAAAACAAGCTACTTGATGAGAATAATCTAGTCTGAATTTTGATGACTTGAAATGAAAATGAAGTGATTTTGGGGAAGAGTAGACCAGAGAAGAGGAAAACTCAACAAAATGTAATATTTAAGAAAGAGTTTTCTTTTTCATGCAAATTCCTTATTACCATCATTTTGAAAATGTATCAAGTTGTGGGAAATAAATTTAAAATTTCAAAAAATATTGAGAAACAACATGTAAAGAATCAAATGAAAAAGGTGCCCATTTCAGTATTAAAAATGAACCATTGGTTTTTATGGAAATTGGATTATACCATAAAATTCCACACATTTTATAATGTAGTAAAAAACTTTAAAATTTAAAAAAATAATAAGAAATAATTTGTAAAAAGTTAATCAAAAAAAAAACGTCCAAATGCAGAAACCACGTGCACTGCACAGTGCTGTGCAGCTTCAAAACTGTGTCAAACCGCGGAAAAAACACTTTTTTATTAAGGCCCTTATTTAGTGTGAAAGCTTAAATTTTTGCTGAGAAATTTTATGTCAACAATGCGCAAGCAAGAAAAAAAATAACAGGTGCAAGAAGCAAAAAATGCTATTGTGAACCCCACTAGTACAATGGTGGGTTTCACAATAGTGTTTTTGCTTCTTGCACCCTTTATTTATTTTTCTTGCTTGTGCATTGCTGACTTTAAATTTCTCAGCAAATTTTTTAATTTCACACTAAATTTCAGGTCCGCAGAAGTGCTGAAGCTTCTTGCAAGAGCCAAGAGAGCTTTTCACAAGAAGCTATCATGAAATCTGCTAATGTAGCAACATTGCTGGAGCAGAAGCACACAATAGCAAGTGATAGAAAAAACCACCACATCAAGATGGATCCACTGCAAGAAAAAGTTGTGCAACTGCTTTTAGTTGACATGTGATTTTAAAAAAGCACCTTTGTTATGTCCTATTTCAACTGCAAACAGTTGCACAATTTTTTTCCTACAGTGTAGAACATTTGTTTAATGAATGTAGAGCCAAACAATTGGGCAATATTTGCATGTAATTGCCCCTCCTTTTTGTACCTTGGCCTTTCTGAAGGCTTGTTTTTTTCCATGAACTAATCAAAAAAGGATGAAAGGTTTAATTTGCTGTTCATGTGAACCCCCCCCCCTTGTAGACTTCACAAGAATCTCACAGACTACATAACCCCAACTAAACTGTTTGAATTAGTCTCAACTGCCTTCTCCTTCCTGGCTCAGCAGAGTTCTTCCAACTGTGGGCCGCTACACTAACCATAGCGGTTATTGTTGTGTAACATAACAGAATTTCCGTTAGTGTTAAGTGTAGCGCAGCAGAATTCCGCCACAAGACCGCTAACGCTACACGTGTGGGCCACAAAATATTCATCCTGGATTTGGGATCAACATCTCATATGGTATCTGACAAAGCTCTGTTCATCAATATAGACAAAAGCAAAAAGGGAGTGATCAACACTAGCTGTGGTCCAAAAACCCTCAAGATCATATTGTCATGACTTATAAACAGAAATCCATTTTTTTCATAATGTTCTCTATGTGCCTAAAATCAATGTCAATCTTCTTTTGCTACAACATCTATTGCTTGAAAATTTCAAAATTAATTTCTTTCCAAACCATTTCACTGTCATAAAAAATGACAAGCTGCTCCTAGAAGGAAACTACCACAGCAACATCCCTGTTCTCAAATTTGACTTGGTAAACCGGCAATCTCATTTGAGCTCTGCCAAATTACTGCACAAGTCGCTAGGGCACATCAGTTGCAGCAGGATTTGCAATAAGATTGAGATCCCTGTAAATGCTCCAGAATCTTTTAAAAATTATTCTGTGTTAAAAATCACTCAAGCCTCCTTCAAGAAGAGAATGTTGGTTGCCTCCAAACCATTTGAGGAAATACATCCCGACTTGATAGGTCCTATCTCTCCCATGTTGCACAAGAAACACCAATATATCCTCACTCTTTTCAATAGAAACACAAGATATATCTCTGCTATTCCCCTAGTCTTGAAGGGAGATGTCTTCTCCAATCTCACTTGTCTTCTGGATGTTGAAGCCAAAAAGGCGTGTCTACCATCCATCAGTTCTTCACTCTGATAGGGGAACTGAGTTCACAAATCAAGAGCTTGAAAATTATTGCATCTCTCATGTGATACAACAACAGTTTTTGGACGCATATACGCCTCAACAAAACGGCCTTGCTGAACGATTCAACCGTACGATACTTGAATTGCTAAGGACTCTTATCTTAGATTAGGGTTCAAGCAACAGTGCAACAGAGACAATACAAGACAGTATCAGGCGTTTTTTGTATTGTCTCAGAATTTAAATACCCAAAAATACCGGATTTGTGTTGTCTCACTTTCCTGAGACAATACACATGTATCGTCTTTGAAAAGTGAGACAAGTATTTTGTATTGTCTCAGATGACTGATCCCACCAAAACA